AGAAATGTTTAATTTACGAAAAAAAACTGAATTGAAGACGAGTTTGTCTAACAGAAATGTTTAATTACAAAGCGAATAGAATGTATATATGGATTAATTTCTCCATTTCCACCATAAATGCCATTTTCCGGTATTTCATTTTTTATGGTACGTACTGCAACGTTGATCCACTATATTAACATAAACGGGAAGCACTGCTGTATCTGCTTTCAAATTCCTGATAAATTTATAAAAAAACAGCTGATAAGACACAGGAATTAATGAAGAATATTGACGATCTGGCAATAAGGCATGACGTCATTTCTTGACGAACCCGCACGCTTTGTTGGCGGTTCAGTAGTGAGCCCTTGACTGGTAGTAACAGCAAGTCATAAGTCGGGTTGGATGAGGCCGTAGTAGTGCGCGCGCGCTCTCTCTCTCTCAATAGAGAGAATAGGGGAGAGAGATGATGGTGGTGCCAGTAACGTTGGAGGAGGAAGAAAAGAAAAAGAAGTGGAAGGTAGAAGAGGGAAAGGGAGGGGAAGGGAGAAAAGGAGAGGGGGTTAGAAGTAGAAGAGGGAAAGAGGTGGGAAGCGGAGGAGAGGAGAGAGGAGAGGAGGGAAGAGGGTAGGAGATGAGAGGAGTAGAAGAGGAGAGGAGGAGGAGAAGAGGAAGAGGGAAGGAGAAGGAAGGGGAGGAAGAGAGGAGAGGAGGAGGAGGTGGTGGTGGTGGAGGTGTTGGCGTGGCGGCGGCGGAGGAGGAGGAGCCGGAGGAAGAGAGGAGGGAGGGAGGGCGCGAGGGTGGCAGGCAACGTGCGCCGGGGGAGAGAAGGGGGAAGACACGGAGGGACGGCGGGGAGGGGGAGGAGGGGATCGGGTCGGCACATGTTTCTCGGCCAGCGTCCCCCGCCTGCTGCTCCGGGAGGTTGGGAACATTACAACAGAGCCGCATAAGCACCGGTGTTGCTGCGCAGGGGAGAGCGTTGCCAAGCCACCGCTCTCGATTCGGTTGTTTCTACTCCTCTTATCGCATTTGCTTTTATTTCCTAGGATTATGCAATGCTAATACCTGCTCTTATAAAATATACCTATATGCAACATGACGGATTTTCAGATTATTGAGAGTAACGTTCTTAAAGCATTTATGATTTTGAAATTAATTACTTGTTTTGGTATAGATCATGGAGCTAAGTCACAGGCGTTATAAGAACTGATAATGATAACAGTGCTGTAACTGATGAAGGAAAAAAATCTAATAATGATATGAAGATCTGTGACTAAATTTAGAACTTCTGTAAACAATTAGCATAATGATGATATTAATAATAGCACATGTTTATGATAGCGATAGGACTTGAAAGGATAGGTTTATAGGATGCTAACAAACTAATAAAAACTGTAATTGTAAGAGCAACAATATGAATGGTAATGAAAAGAAAGAAAAAACAAATGAAATAATGTTGATGATGAAATTGATAATGATAATAACTATAATAGAAATATCAGTGGTAATTATACTACTACTATTG